CAAATGACAAGTTTGGAACAAGAATGGTAGATTGGATAAAAGTACTATAAAGTATAAAATAGTGAAGTTGATTATAATACTGTGATTATGTAAGAAAATATACCTATTCTTAGGAAAGTACACTGAAATAGTTCAAGATAATGAGCCATGATTATATTAACTTACTTTCAAATAGTTAAGTAAAAGAATCTCTTCCCCCCCCCTCTCTCTCACACACACACACACTCACACACACAGCCCCCTGCAAGCAACAGAGCAAATGGGATGAAACGTTAATAATACAGGTATTCTTTGTACTATTTTTTGTAAATTTGAAAATATTTCCAAATAAAAAATTTTAAAATATCTTTCAAATAACAAAGTAACCTAAAATATTTCAGGCACTAACTACTCAAAAAAATATTCCTAACAAGGCTGATCCTCAAAAGCTGTTTTCTGTTACCAAACCATGGATCCATTCTTTAAAAAAGATTTTCCACACTAAAGAGTATAGACACACAACGTACCTGATAACTTTGCAGTCTTTGCAAGTCAAATGAAGCTGAAATATATCTCGGCATTCAACACTTTCTATGAGCTGTAATGGAACCTGCAATTAAAGGAGATAAAGTTTCTTCTGTCAAAAAGGCATTGACCCTGCAGTTCTTCAATGTCCAATAAGAGCAATTAGGAAGTTCCACAGGGGAAAGGAGCAAACAACTGCAAACTTATCTGGATCAATAATACTTAAGTGATCTAATACTGAGTGAATTAGGGACTGAGTAAATCAGGGTTTCTTCCCTTCATCTCTAAATCAAAGACCCAAGTCATGAAGAGGAAGCATCACTTCTGGAAGAACAGGGAAATATGTCATCTCTCAGGCAGCAAACTCACAAGCTCATCACTCAAAGTACTGCACTACTTGAAATACTATAGTCAGTTGTGATAATGTAATGACACAAAAGCTGGAGGGAACTAGAATGGTGATCCTGCCTTGTTTACACGAAAGAACTGCAGATCAAAGTGCTAGTGGGACTATATTTGTCATTTGCCGCAAATGACAAAGTGAGCCTATGGCTTTGTGTCAGCAAAAGAGCATTCTGATAAAGACTAGAAAGTCTAAACTGCCTGTAAGTTGCACAGAAAAGACAGCAGGACAGTAGCTGCTGGACAGCTAGACACTCTGCTCAGTAGAACAGAGCCACAGGTACGGAGGAGGAAGGAGCAGGTCACACAGTGGGCAAAGGTCCTAAAACTAGCTAGGTCTAATTTGTTTAAAAGACCAAATTTGAGGAGCCCTGTTTGCCAAGTAGAACTTGAGATATGAGCAAATTAGAATGATTTTCTCCCTGTCAATCACATCAGCAGACTGTACTAAATGAACCCAGGAACCTAAATACAACAGTAAAGAGGATCAGAGAAGGAAGAAGACAGGAAGGGAAAACATCTGTCAGGGTGACAAATCTTCAAATTGACAAGGAGACTCCTCCCCTTCCCTCTCCACTCATCTGGACTCAACCTCTGGCTCAAAAAGCAATTTTCAAAACTTCTAAAGTTTGGTTAAAAAAAATATTGGATACTCTTGCTCCTTGGAAAAGGTTAGACCACTGCCTCTTACACTGTATCATGCTAGCCAAAATATGACTATACAAGTTACAAGCAACATTCAAACAATTCATTTAGCATGGGAAGAGGGAGGCAGTTTTTTCCAACACAGAGAACCAAGAGAGAGCTGCCTGCAGAGGGTGGCCTTCATGTTAGCTGAGCCGTGTCAGAAACCCTGTCCCACCATGCAGTTGCCAAAGTTAGCAGAGAACTCTAGAAACAAGTATGTGGGGATCAAAAATAAGCCCAGTGCTGGACAAAGAAACAGAAACTGGGGCAGGGATTTAAAAGAGAGAAGAAAGCAAAGTAACAACATTCAGATACTAGCTAGGAGTTTCTACCTCAGGACCAGAGCCTTCTTGCTTAGTTCCAAGTCTACAAAATTCCCTTACACTTGTAATAGGACTGAGAGCAAGAGAAAGACTAAGAAATCTTGCCTGTGTTCTGAGGGGGGGAAAAAAAAAGCACTGGCTCTCTGTTTTTAACATGCTTTGAGAAACTATGGCTGATTCAGCTAAAAATGCTTTCAAGATCTGTATATCGAGGAAGGAAAATACCACCACCACTATTTCAGTAAAGGAGAAATAGGAGATTAAGAAGAGAACACTGATTCACTCTTACAACAGTCCTTTGAGTGTTCTGTAACAGACTCTCATACTGTTTTTCTTTTTTTTTATGTACCCACTTCTCCCTTCATCAGCCCCCTCAGCCTTGGTGGGGAAAAGTGACAGCAAGACTGACAAGAGGCCTGAGTTCTAATCTCAATTTTCTAAAATTTTACCTGCTTCCAGACTTCCTTGGACAAGCTTCCCCACTTCCTATATGTCACCAGCCTCTGCTTTCTAAACCTCAGGTAATCAGAATTTTGGAATTCCCAGGTACAGGGAAAGGGAAGAGCCTGGGGTGCAATGAGAGCGAGCTTTACAAATCCACATGGACAGCAGCCACCTGCATCCCAGTTTCCTTTTGATTACTTGAAAACCAACTAATGCTATTAGCAGCTGCTGGAGAGAGTGGACACCAGCCTGTGCTACCTGGCTACAAAGAACAGGTAAGTCTTATATCCCTCTATTGGACCAGAGACTAAGGACCTACACCCAGACTTCCAGAATAAGAATAATGCAACATCTCAGAGCATGCAAAATATGTGCTACCTAAAATGCACTTGACATACAAATTTTCATGTATTCTGACATCACAAATTTAGGGAAAATGAATAGAAATGTTGGTTGCTGATATGAAGATACTAGAAACCACCAGAGTGCATCATGTGTACTGAAGTCATGGATACAGAAAACAGCAGATTTTAACACTCATGCAGATTGTTACATGCACTGAAGTTTAATATGCAGCAAGAACAGGAACATGTAGAAGGAAAATACCTGATTTTATATCAAATGATCATCTTTTCTTCTTCTCCTTCCTACCTCAATGTCCCCATCTTTACTGTTCCTTCCACAGAATGCCTCCTATTCTAAAAAGGAACAACTAGCCTTCTTTTCTTCTTTATTTCTCCAACCAAAACATACTAAGTTTCTCTACATTTTTAAGGCCCACTCCCATGGTTTAGATTTCTCACCTTTCCTCACAGATGAAAGAGATCTCTTACCATTTCTGTAACTAAATATACCCAATATCCAATCTCATAAGCAAACATTACAGACTCAAGAGCAACACCACTTTATAGCCCAGGAAGGTAAACTAGTGACAGACTCAGGACAATAATCCATGACTGTCCTCCAGTCCAGGCTCCTCCCATTATGAATATGGTGCATCTTTCTTCCTCTTGATCACCTTTCCCTTCTGTATGAGCACTGCATTAGGTCTTCTATCACAATAAGGCCTCTCCTCTCCACCGAGGATCTTGAAGAGGAAAACAAAATTTATTTTTTAAAGATTTTATTTATTTATTTTTAAACAGAGGGGAAGGGAGGGAGAAAGAGGAGAGAACTATCAGTGCATGGTTGCCTCTTGCGCCCCCCCTACTGGGGACCTGGCCCACAACCCAGGCATGTGCCCAGACTGGGAATCAAACCAGCGATTCTTTGGTTCACAGACTGGCACTCAACCCATTGAGCCACACCAGCTAGGGCAGGAAAACAGAATTTAAACCAAGAGTCCTTAGAGGTAATTCTACCCATGAAAGTGTAATAATAAGAAATCTAAAGTCACATTCAAATCCTCTTTAGCCCACTAATTCCAATGTTTTATAGCAACTAGTCTTCTTTTTGCTATTTTTTCCTCTACCTTCTTGCTGCCAGGAACTTGTATCTCCCTCTACAGTGCTCTTCCTCTTATAAATCTCATCAAACTCCTACTTAAAACAATGCATCAAAAACACACAGTGCTGTTAATCAATTTCCCAAAAGGTCAGAATTACATCATGAACACCAAAATTCGTAAGAGCATCAATCCAAAAAAGCAGAAGAGCAGTAGTTAAAGACTTAGTAGCCATGCGCAGGTATTAGAGATCCACAGTACTGTCTCATTTGGGGGCATGAGGAGGGATGTGCACACACGTGCACATGTGTATTGTTTTTAAGCACCAAAATTTAAAAGTGGGATAATTTCTACCTTTAGAAACAAATGTCACTGAATGGGAAGTACTAATCTTTATACACATTGAAGTAAAAATGATAGTAACTAAGTGAAAATAAATCAAGTAATGATTCTAAACCTAAAAGGTGTAATAAACTGTGGAATATCTAGGCATGAAATCTTATCATTCAAGAACCAGTCCTAAAAAGAAGACTGTCACAGGTTAAAGATAAACTTTTATTGCTCTCCTTTGGTTATTTACAAGCTACTTTTCCAACACAGGTTTCATATGTCTTTACTGGTATATCAATATTAAGGCCAAAGTGCATTAAGTGTTAATGATAACCTCTTGCTGATATTTGGGGGATAAAGATTTTCACTGTACTACAATTAAGACAATGGAAAATGTGAAAAATGCTAAAAAAGGTGTTTCCAGTTGCTTACACATCCACCTTTTCTCTCAGAAGCATTAACAGGACAGCCTTAGAAAACAGAAGTTTTGCGTTTTTTTTTTTTTTAAGATCTCATTTATTTATTTTTAGACAGAGGGGAAGGGAAGAAGAAAAAGAGGGAAAGAAACATCAGTGTGTGGTTATCTCTTGTCTGTTCCCTACTGAGGACCTGGCCTGTAACCCAGGCATGTGCCCTGACTGGGAATCAAACCAGTGACCCTTTGTTTCACAGGCCTGTGCTCAATCCACTGAAGCACACCAGCCAAGACAAAAGAGAAGTTTTAATATTCTTTTAAATACTCATGTTTATTTTACAAATGATTTCTAGTTGAACTTCAGTTTACATTGTTTGAAGGTCACAATTCCACCTGCTTATTAATAAGCTGTGGAGCTTTATCCTCACCCCACCAATTGTTCTCATTATAGGGTGCCACTAGAACTTTGTCTAGTAAGAGGGAAGAAACTCATGCAGAGAGGACACATTTTGCTGACTGCAAGGTGAGCAACTGGCATTCAAAACCAATTTGTTCCAAGCACATGTACAACTGCCTAGGTTTCTCATGCTACTTACTGTGATTTCAGAAGCAGTAGATTGAGAGGCAGTCTATTGAATTACACAACAAAAACTGTTTTAAACTTTCATGAATTCTATTTGAACACTTATTTATAAATTAGCTGTGCATCAGACAAATATACTTGTACACATGTAAAAGTACAGTTTGGGCAAAGCATAGAATGAGAGCAATTCATACCTTACTACCAATGAACTCTACTAAAGACGTTCTTGACCCTAGAAAATGAAAACTTGATATCCAATGAATGTGTGTGGATTAAAGTAATGATATTTATGGTACCTAAGTCTATAGACTTTCACTCAATATGCTAATGAAATTAAAAGAGAATGTGCATGGTGAAAAGTAACTAGACTTGAAATGGTATGGTATATAAAAATATTTAATTATAATGTTGTATACCTGTAATAGATGTATGTAATCTTGTATACCAATTTAGCACAATAAAAAAATGTTAAGAGACTATATGGTACAGGGTAGCTATTTAACACTTCATGACAAGTTATTTTCTAAAGTACTAAATTTAATTATTTAAAAGCAAACAAAATGATGCAAACTGTAGCATGCCACAATATACACTAGTACATTTGAGGTCTGACAGTTGAACTGTGTTTGATTTAGATTCAATAACCTTTAAAAGGAGTCTCTTGATCTCACATGTTTTACTGAAATACCTCTCTGCTGAGGAAGGAAAAGAGGGAGGGAGAGGCAACACCACCAACTCAGTCCCCATCCAGCATCTAGTAGGAGGAGCCATTGTTTTCTGGAGTAACCACAGGTTTTAGGAACCTTAGCACTTACTGTGATGCAACTAGTTTATTTGTATGGAGAAATCTGAGTCTCCATCTGAAATGTTTAAATCCACTGCAATGCCAAAATACTTTTGCACAATCATCTTTCTGTACACAGCCCTTATCTTGGGCTTTTTAAGTGACATGCAGGCTCTATGCTTTAGAGGGTTATAATGCTAACTGAGAAAACAGTTTCAGGTGAGGAATTGGGTCAAAAGTATTAAGTTTTCTTAAGTATATACCTCAATCACAAAAGGGGACCAACAATTCCCTACTTAAACAATCTACTTATACAACTACTCTTAGAGACAATAACACAGGCCTATCACACAGATTATGTCGTTTTAAAATGAGTTGTGAACCTAAAAAGGGGTTTTAAATTATCTAATACCCATTTCAAGCCTTTATTAACTTCAATTCACATAATAAAGGGGTGGGCAAAAGTAGGCTTACATTTGTTAGTACATGAAACTGTTTATTCTTGTATTATTAGTAAATCTACGTTTGCACACTCTTGTATTTACTACATATCATGGTACCAGGATATATGCTGAATTCTGAAGACACAAAGATAAATAACAAAAAATTGTATCTGGTATGTTGTAAAGGTATATTCAAGATACAGAAGAAGCCAAGGGAGTGTAATAAACTGCCAGGGACTGAGAAAGGTCTCACAGAAGATGGTATACTCTGACTTGGATTTTGACAGATGAAGAGAAGTTCCCTGGGCAGGAGAAGAGAGAGAAAACTCAGAGTGTGAGATATGGCTGAACAGTCTAAGGAGGGTAGTTTTATTAGCACCAACAGGAGAAGGGAGAAAAGAGGGAAACAGAAAAGCTGGCAGGGACCAAGGACCACTTCCCCTGACATCGTACTAAGTGATTCCATCATAAAAGTGTTCAAGGCTTTTAATTTTCAAGGCTTGTGAATGACATGCTCAAATCCACTCTCCCTCTCCCACAGACCCTATTCTGGAATAGATCTAAAAGTACTCCCCAAAATACTTTGCCATAAACCAATAAGCTGAGAAATAGGGGACTGTATGGAAAAAAGGTAATAATATGAAACTAAGTCATCTCCACGTTCAATTTAAGTAGAATTTCACTGATTCCAGCCACTTAAACATAATTTAAATACAATATTAAGTTGGGTGATTCTACTTATTACAGTAGTCCCCCCTTATCTGTGAGGGCTATGTTCCAACACCCCCCAGTAGATGCCCGAAACCATAGAGAGAACTGAACCCTATATATACTATTTATTATGCGTACAGTAGTTCCCCTCACCCCCATCCCACTCCCTACTTGTGGGCGGTTTTGCTTTCTATGATATCAGTTACCCACAGGTCAACTGTGGTATGAAAATATTACATGGAAAACTCTAGATATAAAAAACTCTTCAGTTTTAAATTGCATGGCATTTTGGGCATCATTATGAAATCTCACACTGTCCTGCTCCATCCCACCCAGGACTAATGATTTAGCCTTTTGTCCAGTGTATCCATTCCATGTATGCTACCTGCCCACTAATAACTTAGTAGCTGTCTTGGTTACCAGATCAACAGTTTCAGTATTGCAGTGCTTGTGTTCAAATAACCCTTATTTCACTTAATAATGGCCCCAAAGCCATTCACATAACTTTTATTACTATATATTGTTATAATTGTTATATTTTACTATTAGTTATTATTAATCTCTCACTATGCCTAATTTATAAATTAAACTTGATCACAGGTATGCACGTATAGGAAAAACACAGTATCTCAATACAGATGCTGTAGGCAAAAGTAGGTTTACAGTGTGAGTATGCAAAAAAATTATGCTTGTATTATTATTTATTCTTGTATGGTTTTCCATACTCACAACTGTAAACCTGCTTTTGCCCATCACTGTTTAAAGTTTGGTGCTATCCACAATTTCAGGCACCCACTGGAGGCCTGGGCATATTTTCCCCATGGATAAGAGGGGACTATTTTATATGTCTTGTCATTTCAGGGAAGCATTTCATGGCTTCTCTTTGGCAGATCCTATCTGCCCGCATCACTACTCTCACACTTTGGGGCCAATGGAGATGGCACAAGACTTCGTCACACTGCTCAGAATGGTGTGCAACTAAAAACTTATGAATTGTTTACTTCCGGAATTTTCCGTTTAGAATTTGTGGGCCACAGGAGACCAACAGCTAACTGAAACTGCAGAAAGCAAAACCGCCAACAGTGGGGGACTACTATATTACTGTCGTTCCTTTCACAGTAGCTGGTGGGGGATTTCTGGTTGCTGGAATTATATTGGAGTTTATCCTGTCCCCTCCTATGACGACCACCCAATTCCAAATGGACCCTTCTTAACATAGTGCTAGATGATCTGAGAGCACGGCATGCCTCTTTCCTTGATGAAATCTGATGTGTATTATTAGATGATGAACAGAAAACTTATGTAACAGCTATGATCATGGCTCAACTCTAGAAGCCAGAAGGAATTTAGGCCACAATGGCTCTTGGATATAAATGCTTAACTACAAAGAATAAATTCTATATGAAAAATAAAAGTCGACTGTTAAGAAAATGGCATCCATTTGAGTCTTCTGACCAAAAAAAAAAAAAGTGATGAAGGATTTGAGTAACTTTTGGACCACAGAATAAAATAAACTCAAGTGACAAATATCAAAGAATCCCAATTGAACCTCATAACACACAATCTGAATGAAATTATAGTCCTCAGCTTTTATAAGATGTCACAATACACTTCTCTGTGCTAGAACCAAAGTACAAAAAGGCACAATGCTAGCAGGGAAAGAAGGAAGAAGACACTCATTTGGTGGAAGTACACGAACTTTTGTGCCTTTGTGGTGAAAGGCACGTTAACTGAAAACTAGTAATAATAGCAGTGCACTGGGAGAACCAGTTCATTAAGACTACCCTCATAACTAAAAAGGACAAATGCACTCTTAGGAATTGAGAGGCTTCCTTTTCTTCAGTAACACATAGTCCATTCAACAAACAAACATTGTACTTAGTTTCTATACTTATACCAGTAAGGAGTCACTAGACTCACTTCATCCTATGACAGTCTGCACTGAGCTCAAAATATTTCAAACATTTCATCACTTGATATCATCACTTGATATTAAGGTCCAGAGAAGTATCTCAAGTGAGGCAGTAGTAACCATTAAAGATTGAAAAATAAAAGTCTATACAGCCTTTGCACCCTTACAAATCTTAATGACACAGCTTTATCTAGCACACACCAATTCAGTGTTACTAAACACTGGACACCTCAGCTCACAACTATGTGTACATTTTAAATTGAGCATTACAGCTGTTTGCTAACTTAGTGTCCCCTGGATGCTAAACTGGGCGAAAAGCAGAGCACATAAGTTTTAACCACACCCAACCCTATATAACACTCCTCTCTTTGAGAACATTAGCAGATTTTTTTGACTTCCTTTTCTATCTACTTTAGTTGGTAATCACTTACATTAACAAGAGACTCCTTAAACTTGATGTGAAGTCTGTAATTTGAAAGGGCAATGATGGCATCTTCAGCACGGCCCACATACTCTGTGCTTTCTCCATGAAGTTCAAGGAAAGGAACCTTCAAAATGTAAGCAGAAATCCTTCAAAGTTCTGGAGCAGTAAATCAAAGTCTTCAAACACAGATCAGATGAATGGATAATAAATCCTTCGTCATTCAAAACACAAATGTAAGTGGGTAAAGGTCTTAAAAAGACTGGGTTTGTATCTACTTAATTCAAATATACCTAGTTATTTGAATTCTAGACTATTGAAGAAATGACAGAGATGATCATCTCAAACAGTGAATTTTGAGGAAATAAGTCTTTCTAAAAGGAGATATGCTTTCCAGGTGGCATTTCTACTATGTGCATGGTTTAGGAAAAAATATATAGTACATTACTTCAAACCACATTAATACTATGACACTAATATTTATTTTTAGAATCAAAAGTGACCTGTAATTACCTGAAGATTCTCATCCTCTCGGATTAGCTGCTTCCTGGGAAAGATCTGATTTGCCTGGATGCACTCAAGGCTGTGCCGAGTCTCTTCATCCTGAAAAAACCCCAAAACCTTAAAATAATTTCAAAGCATATTTGGTTTTCCTACCCCGTTTTAATAGTGTAATCACAATGAGAGTCCAGTGACCAAAGTAATAGGCACAAAACTAAAGAAAAAAATATTCATCCCCAATATATTCATCCAATTTAGATTATGTGCCTCTAGTTAGAGAACACACTAATTTTTTTTACAAAAGGAGGTTAAGAACATTTACATTAAGCACTAATAAGATGTTAGGTCATTACTTGTACAAGAAACCAAAATACAGTCGTTTTGTTCTTTTCTTTTTAATCTCTTATTTATTTATTTATTTATTTATTTATTTATTTATTTATTTTAGAAAGAGGGGAAGGGAAGGAGAAAGAGTGGGAGAGAAACATCAATGTGTGGTTGCCTCTCATGTGTCCCCTACTGGGGACCTAGCTCGCAACCCAGGCATGTGTCCTGATTGGGAACCAAACCAGTGACCCTCTGCTTCACAGGCCTGTGTTCAATCCACTGAGCAGTCGTTTTGTTCTTTAATTTGTAACCTTAAATTCTTATTTTTGAAAGTTACACTCTGAATTATTTAAGAATGAAATGATGTAGTATCTGGAATTTGCTTCAAAATAAGTAGAGGGGGAAAAGTAAGGAGGAAGTGAGTAGAGCATAAATGAAACAGGACTGTCCATGAGGGATGTCTGATGAAACTGTGTAAGTGAAGGTTCACTAGACCTACCATTGTGTCTATTTTGGTTGCATGCATGATTTCTGTAACACAAAGTTTTTTAATAATGTAAAGCTTAAGAACTGAATTTCTCAAACTGAAAACACGTATGAACCACTATCCCTAGTTTAGTATGTCATATATTTGGGAATAGATTTATTTTTATTAAGGAAATTTTTTTAAAAAACCAACAATAAATTCTAATCTACATGGCACTTGAATTATAACCTATATTAAAAAAAGTCATCTTTACACCATAAATCTGTACAAGATGATAGGAGAAAAAACAATATAATGGAAAAGTCCGAGTGTAAATTATGATGCAATCTGTTTAACACAGTGAACTTTGTAAAGATTAAAAGCCGTATGATTCTCAAATGACAGCACCAAGAATTAAAATCACTAGAGGACAGACATTTCTGCATATGCTACTTATTACAATTCCAACAATTCTACCTCCTCAAAGAGAGGGGAAAATCCTGCCTATAAATAACACTTAAGGTTTTATTAAAAAGCAATCTTAATCTTGAATCCATAATACTCTACTACTGTGGTTCTCAAAGTGAGGTCCACAGACTTTGAGACCCTTTCAGGGGGGCTCTATGAGGTCAAAACCACCTTCACAATAATACTAAGGCATTCTGTCTTTTTTTACTGTGACATTTGTCTAATAGTGCAAACAGTGCAAAAAGAACTGGTGGGCAAAACTGCTGGCTCAGCATAATCAAGGCAGTGACACCAATTTCACTCAGAATGTCCTTGATAAAGCAGGAGAAAAATGATACATTTTATTAAATCTTGGCCCTTAAGTAGTCTTTTTTTATATTGGAAATACACATGAAATAATTATGCTGCACACTGAAGTATGATTGTTTCAAGGCCAAGCACTTGTGCCACCCTTTCAGCTACAAGCTGAATGAGCCACTTTTTTCAAGTACTATTAAAAAAAAAGCTTTTTATCTTTTCAATTACAGTTGACATACAATATTATATTAGTTTCAGGTGTACAACATAGTGATTAGCTATTTTTATAACTTACGAATGATCACCTTAAGTCTAACATCCATCTAACACTATCCAGTATCATTTAGCTGAAGAGTAATTCTATTTCCACTGCTAAGAGACAGCTCTTCACTTAAAAGAGAACTGAGTATTTTACACTTAGAACCAAAGAGAAAAGATCTGAGGAATCTTAAATTTAGGAAGATTTTTCTCACAAACCAATAGGAGGTAGGTAAAATTTCTAGAACACATGGGGGAAAGCTTTTTAAAAATTATGACATAAAAGAACAATGTAAACAGGCTTCCCTCAGCATCACATTAACTTTTTAATTTAGATAAATTCATATCCTAAACTTTTATTCTCTTCAGTATCATTTTACACAAGTACCCCGACCTATTTTACTGACCTTTAAATATTACAGAATTGAAATCATGTAATAGGTTTAAAAAAAACTAGAAGCTAAAATACCATTTCATTCTTGTCAGCACATTCACTTGAGTGTTAACCCAGGCCAATGTATATAATCAAAACAGTTACTGAAAACTGAAAATGGAATAAATGATTTTCAGCCTAAGAGAACTGAAATTAGGCCAGCAATGCAAAAATGCATTTAATCCCCAGAGATTTAGTTAACATTAGGGCAAACTACCTGTTAACTTTCTAGAAGAATGGTGATTCAAAAAACATTACTTGACTAACATAAGTTGAATTAACTACCTAATTTCTTTTTTACAGTTCCTGAATTTTATAAGTAAAAACGGAGGCCAAACTTTAGATAAATAAGGAGTTGGAAAGAGACAAAGGGAAGGAAGAAACAAACTAGCAAGTATTGGCATGGTAAGAGTCTTGGAAACAAATTTCTCCTGAACTATAAGCAGTATTTTAGACTTGATCTTTGCCAAAAAGCCGAGAAGCGGTACAGAAGTAGTACTCTAGTAGTACTAGAATGTATTCCATATGGCTGATTTCCTAGTACTGCTGAGAAACACCAGGCACTGGGGCATCTAGCTTTGTTTGCCTCCATAAGGTCAGAGCAGTTACCTACAAAATCTTCAAAAGAGATCAGTGACCATGGTTTCAGGGTAGTTTCTGCTACTGGCTCAACTATGTAGGTAAGAGAGGTAAACCTACACTTCAGAGGGGAAATCAACATTAGAGATAAATATTTTTAAAACATAGGGAGCAGGGAATGCTGATGAGTCAAAATGCCTATTTGCTAAACTCAAATGTAGGATTCCAGGATAAAAACAAAACCAAACCATACCTACTCCAAAGAATGAAATGAAATGTATATAATATGAACACTTAGCAAAATATGAAAGTGAAAGTATAAGTTTCATTGTCAATTCCAGTCACTAATCTTAAAACTGGTATTGAAGAACATCAAAAATACAATTTATCTTGATATAATGCTTGAGATTTGTTTCAAAATAATCTAAAGAGGTGAGGGTGAGGGAGTAAGAAGAAACAAGTGTGGCCATAGATTACTGCAGCTGACTGATGTATATATGACTATCCTCTCAAAATCGGGATTAAAGACATATGACTTGCCCTGGCTGGTGTAACTCAGTGGATTGAGCACTGGCCTATAAACCAAACAGTTGCTCATTCAATTCCCAGTAGGTACACATGCCTGGGTTGCAGGCCAGAACAGGGTTCCCAGTAGGGGGCACACAAGAAGCAACCACACATTGATGTTTCTCTCCCTCTCTTCCTCTCGCCCTTCCCCTGTGTCTAGAAAAAAATTAAAAAAAAAAAAAAAAAAAAAGACATATAACCTAAATGCTAAAACAATAAAATATATTAATATTACTTAAATCAGTGTTACATGGTCCATGGCCCAAAATGTTACATGGACTAAAATGAACATTAGGAACCAATAAATCAACATGAGGAAATTTTAAATTCACTTAGTAATGAGCAAAATATAAAGCTAAGTATTTTTTTCAAAGGTTGCATTCAACTACATAAAGGCCTAGATAACAGTTTGCATTTTTTTTTTTTAATATTTTATTTATTTACCTTTTAGAGGGGAAGGGAAGGAGAGAGGGAGAGAAACATCAATGTATGGTTGCCTTTTGTGCGTCCCCTGCTGGGAGCTGGCCTGCAGGGAACTGGTCTGCAACCCAGGCATGTGCCCTGACTGGGAATTGAACCTCGATTGTCTGGTTTGCAGGCCCGTGCTCAATCCACTGAGCTACACCAGCCAGGGCAACAGTTTGCATTTTTAATCAATGAAGTATTTTTTTAAGATGTTATTTATTGATTTTTAGAGAGACGGGAAGGGAGGGAGAAAGAGAGGGACAGAAACATCAATGTGTGGTTGCCTCTTGCATGACCCAGTGCCCTGCACCAGGGAACAACACAGGCATGTGCCCTCACTGAGACTCAAACCAACAACCGTTTGGTTTGCAGGCCAGTGCTCAATCCACTGAGCCACACCAGCCAGGGCAAAACTTAAGTATGTTTTAATTCCAATTATATAAAATATACATATGGACACTGGACTAGTTAGAAATGAACACAGCCATAGGTTTTGGCAGTAGAATTATAAATGAGTATTTATAAAATGTGTTATACTGCTGCTTTATGAAAAAAAAAAATTTAAGACACATGGCCATACTGCTCCCCAACTACTACACAAAGAAGCATCTCCAGAGCCCACCATAAAGACTGTCTGCAGGGCACCAAAGCCCCTACCCAGTAGCAACAGGATGAAGCCACTTTGTTGCTAGCTATGTGGAACACAATGAAGGGCAACCCCTCAGTACAGAACAGAGCTGCTTTAATAAGCTCATAATTTGTTATTCATTAGCACCAGCATATATCCTATGTAAATATTAGGAAAATGCTTTTTCAATTCATTAAAAACTCTGTGGGAAAACCAATAAAATAAAATGTAGTCTAGAGAAATAACATTAAAAGTTCATCAGTGTTTGGGTCTAAGATACATAGTTGTTATGCCCATAAACTAAGAAAAAACTGGTCCAGCTTGAGATGAGAGCAGTAACCTTTCTTTTCCTTTTAATATGACATTTCTGCACAACTAGTTTTTCTGTTTTAGTTTGTTTTTAATTTTGAAAATCATTTTCCACCCATGTCCCTAATGGAGCTTGAAATTAACATGGCCTTTTCAATTCCTTCTTTGTGCACCAGCATTAAACAGTTCGCATTAAGGAAATATCACAAGGTAGAAGCAGGACAATATTACACGGGACCATTCTTTTTTAAGCCTTAAAGCACTATCTACATAGTCTCAGGACTGACAGAAATGTGTCTGACTCATTGTTCCATCTTCTCTGCCTGGACTGGGCTTGGGTCTTAAATGGCCCACAAGTCACTAAAATGTCCATTAAATGCTCTTTGTAACCAAAGACGTAGGCAGAGATGCTTCATCTTCTCTGGGATAAAAATACTGCCTTAAACAGAATGGGGAAGGTACAGAACTGCTCCTATCCAGATAGGTAAACTCATAAAGAACATGTGTATGACCATATCATAATTACACACACACACACACACACACACACACTTTTCATCTTGCTTCCTGGGGGGGGGGGGGAAGAAACCTACAGTCCAAGAACCATGGGTTTTAGGCTTGACTCCATCTACTACTTGACTGAAGAGAGATAGTATCTAACTCACAGAATTAAAGTTAATGGAAATGAAAAGGTTTTAATACATTATAATACTCTATAACTATACTATTAAGTAAATAATGAAAGAAGGACACAAGAAAAGAGTCTAGGAAAGGAAAAGTGAAATGATTTATTACAACAACAAAAATGGGTTAAGTGTGGGTATATTAATGTTCACTTAGTTGTCAAGATAAGAGTTCAATTCCAATGTTTTATTTACTTACCATGACAGGAGGCCCAGATTAGGAGGATAAATCCCCGTCTCCTCTTCAGTGTCTACCAAAGCTTTTCTTTCCTTTATGCCTGGATCTTTAAAAAGAGTGGGGGGGGAAAGGGACAAAATTGGCAATTTCCCCCTATGTGGTCATACCCTAATTAAAGGAACTACATGTACATAGACACAAAGACCTGACCAGAGTCAGCCAAGAAAAAGTTGAATATTACCCAGCCAATCTTCACTAGTCAAATGCAAACTCCATATGCTTTTGTGAAAATCCTCCTGGGCCCAACTTATTAGAGCTAATAAGTAACAAGGGTCCATATTCTTAATGTTGCTAGTAATATGTAAAATGTTAGAGACCATGGATGAAAATAATACGGCAATAATTAAAACCAACATGCAAGCACAAAAACAATATTCTTCTAATACTATGGAACATTTTATCTGTAAATCAGAATGGATCCTTCTATCTGTGAGACCCAAACTGGCTTAGTAGGCAAAATATAAAAAATTGTGTTATTTCCCCAATATTCTAAACTTATCTGAAAATTCACATAAACTGTGTTAATACCTTTACCAGGTTTTTACAAACAACAAAAGGGGTTGGGAAGGATTACCCAACTAGAAACATAAAGACAAACTTAAAGAGCACTATCATCTTTAAGAAGTTGCCTTAAAAAATATTTTCATGCAAAGCCAGCATTTCTGGTTTGCTAAACTTTCATGAATACAGGATATTTTAGGGAGTCTGGGATTCAATATTCAAAGTAAGCTCTTTCAGACCAGTGTGAAGGAACAAAGGACAATAAAGAAGCAGTAGGGCCCAGGACATGTGGAGCTTTGCATAGCTGTGAGCACAGTAGCACAGGAGACTTACTTTAAAGAATGCCTCTGACTACTGGCTGGGAACAGACTAGACTGTTGTGGGAGGAGGTATCAGAAACACAGTAGGAACCTTCCATTTCTGCACCAAAGAAAGACTAAAATGGTGAGCTGCACTTTAGGTCAGTCAGTCGGTTAAAACCAGAGAACCTAGTATGTGTCAGACAATACAACACTGTGCTAGTTTCTGTACTAAAGAGCTTATATTCCAGTACAGAAGATAGACAGGAGTATAAACTATCTTTCAAGTGTGATGGTGAGCCACTGACAGGTTTTAAACAGCAGAGTGACATAATTTGATTTTAAGATCATTCTGGCTACTGTGTAATAACTGGATTAAAGAACAAAAAGAATAAAAAGAGAATCAGGAGACAATTACAGAAGGAGAAAGGTGGCTTGATTTAGAATACAGTACAGAATAAAGATGGAATAAAAGCATAAGGATATGGAAAGTATTCTGAAATTAATATTCACACTGAGGAGAGAACTAACACATTTTTTTTGAACTAACACATTTTTAATGACTATCCACTTATCTCTCTTTTAAAAAAGATTTTATTCATTTATTTTTAGAGAGAGGGGAAGGAAAGGAGAAGAGTGGGAGAGAAACATCAATGTGCGGTTGCCTCTCATGTGTCCCCTACGGGGGACCTGGCCTGCAACCCACGCATGTGCCCTGACTGGAATCAAACTGGTGACTCTTTACTTCACAGGCCCATGCTCAGTCCACTGAACTACACCAGCTAGGGCAGAACTAACAAATTCTTAGAACTGGTTTTCTAGTTAAACATCAGATTAGTATCACTAAGTTTAGTAATAAGGCCTTGGTTTTTATACAGATATATAACAATTTATGAAAATTCAAAACAAGAATCAGTTTCAATTTAAAAGAAGTCCACATTATTAAGGACTGTCTATATGAAACAAAAGATTAGAGCTACAGCTCATTTAATCTCCACTTATATATGAGTTTCTAGGCATAACACATTGTATTATGGCACAGTTGAAAAATGCAATCTTGCTTGAGTCCTAGTAAAAACATGTTTGAAGATTTAACATTAAAGTGAACATATAAGAGCTCATCTAAATAATTGCGT